AATAAATCTGAACAAAACAAAAGAGGTGTTCAACGAAGATGTGACCCAACGATCTGTTGCAGTTAAAGGACTTATGTTTGAAGAGGTACAAGACTCAGTCGATTTCGGAAGGTGAACATTGCAAAGATGACGAAGTCATCAGCAGAGTAAAAGTCTATGGGACACCTCAGGAAGATTGAAAATTTTCCTCTCCCGAAAACTGTCTTTGTGCATGAAACGGAGTCTTCGATCACCGCCGGTCTCATGCCAACAAATGGATACTAGAGCTGTTCAAAAACTAAAGATTACAAGGCAACGTCGAGAGATGCATGTTGGATATAAGAAGAGAAAAACTAGGCAGACGAAAATGTGCAAATACTTAAATATGATGGCAATAGTCAAGACACATTACATCGCTGGGCCCAGGAGACAGATTGGGTTGCAAGATGGCAAGACAACCTCAAGAAATTTCTTGGAGCAACGTAAATAAAATCCACAGAAAACAAAATCTTGTGACAAAATCTTGGGGAGGCCTTCATCCAGCAGTAGGTCTGAAACGACTGATGACGCTATGAAGGGTAGGGGTGAAATTCTTTAGTCAGACTTCCGAAGAGGATTGATGTCCTACAGAAAACAGACTGTCTGGACGAATTCTCTGTGGCAAGAAAGAAGGTGGCTTTTCTAGTGATCCGTGATCTTCAGGCTGACCAAAGCATCTTACCGTCATTTATGACACGTGACTGTGGTCGGCCGTCGACTTCCGAGTGCTAAATCGCCGGCCAGCTCTGAGTCAGTCGTGAGCGAAGGTCGATTAGGTAGCAGCGACGGAGTTCCTCGTTGCCGCCGGTATTTCCGTTTACAAGCAGCTATGGCAGTCGCATTCCACGGTCACCCTTTAGCATAGACATCATGTTTGTTTTGCGTGTTTGAGCAGCGTTGGAGTGTCAGTGCTCTCGGTGAACGGCTCGAACGGCTGGTCGCCACTGCCCTTGTTCCAGTTTCGTCGGCGCTCTCTAAGCGCAGTAAGCCGCATGCTGCACTGCACGTTTCGCCGGCGACCTCGTTTAGCCGAGTTCAAATGTCCTCATGGCTGTCTGCCTGCCCTTTCCGCGTCGTCTCCATTCTTTCTGCGCCTCTTTGTTTCCATGTAGTTCAGCGACGATGATCAGAAACGGTTCTTCACAACCGCCGTCTGTCCATTGGTTGAAGTCCAGTGGTCCAGTGGTTGAACGGCTAGTGGTTGAAGGATGGCATTTCAGGTCACTGCGGTGTACAACAGTCGAAGCCGACCACACGACTAGTGTAAATCTGAGCTGAAGCCTAAGCGCGTTACACTCATGCCGAAGCGGGTATGCTTCATTCACTGGCATGGTGGTTGAACATCGACGTGAAGAACCGACACTCACACACTCACAAAGAGAAAAGTCGAAAATGTTAAAGTCACTATAAATTGTGCCCTCAATAATGCATCAAACAGTTAGCTAGAGTTCCAACAACGGAGGCGAATTCAAAATCCTCAAATCACGTTTAAGAGCATTAAGGTCGTGACTCCGTTTCACCATTTCTGCTCCGGATATCCCGTCTTTTCAACAGTCGACTGTTTTTTATAACCGCCAAGAATTCCATAGATTTTTCGCCACGAAACAGCACAAAATACCAGACTGGAGACACAACGAACTCAGAAGTTACGTAAGAGATATAAAAAGGAGGCTAAGACTTGCGTTAAATAAATGGAAAGTTTTGCATTTTGATTCAAGGCATTCAGCAAAGCAGGATCAACCATATCTCAGTATCTATTTTCTGCTGTTTGCTACCTCTTCATGGAAGAAATTCTTTTCCCATTGCCCTTCTTTCAGTCATTAATTAGAGAAGCTACTTGTTTATTTTTCAAAATGCCAACCGTATCGCATTATGATAATTATGTAAGCGGGCTGATGAAAGCATGGACAGCTTGAAGCAATGATCATTAATATGTATTCATTGTTAACAACGTCTACCGTAGGAATTTACGTGACTTCTGCTTTTAGTATCCACTTCAGGTGTACATCCTCACCCAACCTACTTGGACCAAAACGTTGGAAGGCGCCATTGTTTGCAGGATATGATGTGTTGCAGAACACACGTCACTGAATAAAGGCATTTTGCTATTTTCTGAAAACGTGCGGAAAATCGCCTTGATCAGTCTGAAAAGGACGAATATTTACATGAATTGATATTCAGTTTCACACGTGGAATAGCTGCAACTTCCACGCAATGATCCTGTTTATGGAAGGAACCAGATTAGTCTGAAGTTTCCAACTCTCATCAGTCACTCACTTATCAGATCGGTTTTATACGCAGTCAGTGGTCTGGTGTTGGGCCATCCAGAATCCTCGGTACCTAACCTTCTTTTAGGGCAAAACCTTGACTGCATCGAAGACTTCGCTTTAAACTGGCACGGGCAAGATCATCCTTGATTCTCTTGAATCATTTCGAGGATGTGTTCTTTTTTAAGTCCTTTCTATATGCTAATCCATTCCTTTTCATAACACTGTCTGTGATCTGGATCAGGAAAGCTCTAGCATATCCTTTTGGAAGAAATTTCCTGTACAGGTATCGGTCTTGTACCAAAGAAATCAATTAGACAATCTGATGTGGTGTGATTGTGGGACCGTATAGAAGTTATTTCTCGTCGTCTCTGTGCTTTCGGCTGGTAACACCTCAGCGAGTTTTACAACAAGTTTGAAGAGGGCTGGAAACTCCAGCGGAAACCTGTTCCCATTTATATACTGGATTTCAGTGTGTTCATATATGAGGTAAATTTTAATTCTTCCGTACTTCAATTATGACGTCAGGCTGCTTTGAATTTCTAGATGTAAATGGAATCTTCGACAGAAAACGGAAGTGAATCATACGTGTAAGCGTTTTTTCGATAATGGTGGAGTCACCCAGACGTAGAGAAAGGACAGTAAGGTTTGACTTAACAGTACCCCGATGATGTTGCTGGTGTTGGTGACCAAATGCGTTCACCGTTAAATAAACATCACCATCTTGTCATATGTCTGACTGTTCTCACCGTGTATCAAGAAAGTTTTCAAATGATAATTTATAAATCCTGAATCGAAAAGCTCTTTGAGAAGAGGTCACATAAATACTCTTGACTCTGGCGTGAAAATCTTGAGAAAATCAGTATAGTTGAGCAGCTCTCGAAGGTGCTTGGTATAGGATTTGGGCTCGCATGTAAAGTCACTAGATAGATCATATCGTTTTGTACTTTCAAACAAGCATCTCTGAAGGAAGCAGACTTTGCCTACAACCCAGGAATGAGGACTATTTGTCATCGTTGATGTGAAAGCAGCAAATTTCCAATGTTCGACACCTTGCTCTTCTGTTCGAGAGTGAACGGCTCACGTATCGAACACTACCAATTATTTATGTCATGGCCATCTGGAAAAATTATTACTAGACACTGCTTCCGACTTAGATGTCCAGAACGTAACATCTACCGAAGAGAAGAACTTCAAACGTATAAATCCGAGTCACTCAAATCATAGCAGATCAGTTTCGATGGCCATTTGGCCGCATCAGACGGAGTCTCCCTCCAATGCACTGGATGTCGTGCCAACATTTGAGAAGCAGTAGAAAATGATTCGAGTCCGGAAGACGCGTCAAGGCATTTGCCAAAGGTCATTCAAGGCCTTCCTCGGGTCTTTGGTTGGTCGGTATGGCAAGCGCTGTCTGCTCAAATCGTCAAACATCTCCAAGTTTGGCTAGTCAGCAACTGAAGCTTAGCTTTAAACAAGCTTAGTTTTAAACAACATCAGTAAAATCAATCAGACATGGCAAATCTGACATATATAACACAGAATATACAGTGAAATCAGTAGAATATGGCATACAATCAGATCGTTACTTGCAACGAATCTTTAGGCTTAACTTTAGAAACTTAGGCCCTTACTCTTTAATAACTTTAGACTCATGGGTAATAAAAAAGAAACTCCCTATTATGAATACCCGTCCTTTGGCTGATGGAATAAATTGCGATGTTCCTCAAGTTGAAAAATGTAGTTCTGATTTTTTTCCGCGTAACCATATCTTGTCATTCAAGCCTCACAGCTGGAAATGAGTGAGTTTTGCATTTTCTGTAGTTTTGCCATTAAATAATTATTTTTTAATGTTAGGAGGTTTAAAACTTGAATCACATGCTCTCCTTCCATTTATTCAGTCCTTTAAACACAGTAAGGTCTGCATAACTCAACTCAATGTTCTCTGGTAGAGGCAGTATAACCATGAACATTGAAGGATTGTATGATAGAGCAGAGTATAACGGTGTCTTTCAACCTATTAAAGTACGCGAAGGTTTCTCGTATTCTATGAAACGGCCAAATAACCAGATAAACTGGTAATTAAGGTAAATTTTTAAGCTTTCGAGTCAAGAAAGAAAAGATGGATAGGTGGCACACTTGGAGAGAATGACTGAGCTCCAGTACCTGCAGAAATTCCAGCGAAAGAATCGTGAAATCCTTTCATTCTACCGTTTACCATCTGAATCCAAAATGAAAATTCATGGACATAAAGAACGGAGGATTCGGACAGTTCCTGATAAGTCATACCTGAAAATGGAACAAAGTTACCTTTGTGTCGTTTGGAGGTCTAAATCTGAAAAATTTGTCATAAAAATGTTGTCGGCAGATTGTCGCCATGTGTTTAGAATGAGGATGACATTCATAGTGTTAAGCACACTCAAAGCAGATCAAATTGTTACTTGAAGTCACTGATTGGACATTACGCTATAATAGGAATGAAAAACCCAAATGATCAGCAACTGCCAAAGATAAGAGACAACTTCGCTCTCCTATAATAGTCAAATTCGAACACCTTGGAAGTGAGGCCGCTAGAATAATACATTTTAACTCTATCTAGTTAGCAGTGCTGCTTTGATATTTTCCCAGGTTCTGTTCCTTATCATCGGACAGCAGCTGGATGACTGTAGGGTGCGCACGACAGATGACAACCTAGCACAACTTACTAAATTTTTATACCTTGAACCACTCTGTATGCGTCTCCTACTGATCGGCACAAGAAAGATACGAAATAATATACGAAATAATTTATGAAAGAGAGAACCATGGCTGGGTTGCAGGTGGTATGCTCTTGGTCCATGCTTTTAGTCCCTTGGCGACGACGCTCCAGTCAGCAAGGTCTTTGGGCAACTTAGGCTGCTGACAAGAGAGACCCTCTTACCGTGTCAGTTTATCACTACAAGAGAGAGCCTCCCGGCTGCCAGACGATTAGAATCATTAGAAAAAAAATTCTGAAGCTCATCTTTCTAAAGATGAAAAGCGGTCTTTGATAACTGAGGGTGTCCTCAGAGTCACTTTGATCGTACCGACATCACCAGAAGAATATCGCCTGAAACATAATACCTGCGAAGGATGAGTGGCGAACCTCAGAGTCGACGGCGAGAAAGTTCTGCGTCTTTTTATGAGTTGCAGCAGCTTCATTGTTACTCGCTTTCAAAGAAACTATATCACTTTTTCAAACTCTGCGGAAGT